CATTTTTAAGCTGCTCAGTATGACCTCTTCAAAATTTTTGCTACTACTCAGCGTGTGATTTCACATGTCAGTCCTTTCAAAAGTCCAGATGAAGACTATTCAGTTTCCTTGATTTGACTGTGTTGAGCTTTGAAGACTCCAATTCTACTTCAGTTGTGACACCAGTGTCTTCCTACTGAGCCCTGTTAGCTTTCTGCCTTTACCATAGTGTTAAACACACAATTTCCTACATCTAAAAGTGTTGGGTCTCCCCTGAGAGCTTCATTGCTTAGTAGCATCTCTTCTTTCTTTTCTTGTTCTCTTTTTATTTATATGGTTGAAGAACTTTCTTTGTGTTTGTTCTAATATCCTGTGGAAGATCTAACTCAGCTTGACTCTTGGCAGTTCTTTATCTCCACAATACTTGCCCTTTTTAGGATATAGCTCTTTTTGCTGATGAGTCTTTTTGTTGTTGTTTCCCTGCTAATATCCTTTCTGAAGTGGTTATTCATCCATTTATTTCTGGAGACTTTCTTTACAAGTGGTTTTCTCCTTTGCTGTGATTCTAGTGTTTGCGCTTTCTGACTTGACCTATCAGTTGTTGTATTTGTAAAGGTGGTAACAGTCACCAGTTCATTTACTAAAGCTTGTGCTTCCTAATACATCACACGTTCCCTGAAATTTGTAATTGTGGTTAAGTGGCATTCAAAATCATTGCATTATTGATCGGTAGTAGTGCCCTCAAATTTAGTTGCTAAATTACATGCAAAGGCTCTGTTGCCAAGAGCAGCCACAGTGAATGAATACAAATATTTGAAACATAACATTTTCCTATATTGCTTCATCGTTTGAGTGAATACATCTTTGCCCATATTGTACAAAAAAGAAAAATAAAAAGCTGAAAGTGTCTCTGCCCCCTATTCCACCACTGTGATCGCTGGCTGTTTCTTTTGTGAAATGTTTTCCTGCCCCAAATCAGAGAGTTGTTCAGGATCCACATCTAACGTGAGTACAAACCTTAACCACCTGCATAACCACTTATAAAGGTTTAGAGGTTGAAAATTTTTATTACATCTTTCTTTTTGTAGAGTTATTTCACTTTCTCTTTCTATAGTTCTTAAATCTTCTGGAACAAGGTTTTTAAGCTTCAGTATTTGATTATCAGTTGTACAATATGTGTATATGTGTGTCGGGTTGAGATCCAGCCCACGCTGACAGGGGAAGGGGCTTTATGAGAGTCAGCATTGCGTGGCACCCGAGCGCATGCTGAGCTGTGCACTGACTCACGTTTCCTTAGCGCACAGAAGTGCGTGAGCCACTGTGTCCTGGACGTGATAGATCTATTGCGTCTATATCGAGCAGTTCGAGAGAAACAACCAAGATTGTCCTTCTGCTCTAATAAAATTTTGGTGGGTGTAGAGCCAACTCCTACCATCAGCTCTTCTGGTAAATCTCTGCTGTGTGAGAGAATGAGGGAATGGTTTGGCAAGAAAACAAAGCCATTGGACATATCGTACTAGATTTTAAATTTATCCAAATCTGAAGTGCACAAATTGTTAATGTTTGTAGTTCTAGATTTTTAAACTTCAATTTATGATTTCATGCTTGAGCTCCGTTCAGATTGCAAATGAAACACATTGTATTCTGAATGTCTTATTCAAATGATTAAATTGAAACTATAATCCTCCAGTCTTGGAGGAGATTAAGAAGAGTACAGTACCTGTTCAAAGGACACAACCTTTCCTTTTGTTCTCTTTCTTTTTAATCTATATAATGTGACTGCCCTTATCTTTGCAATACTAATGTTGACCTTGTGTTTAAAAAATGCGTATTTTTTGTCTTGATGTAAATAAATGTGGAGAATGAAATATCTGAAGGTTTTGTTTCTGTAGATTTCCAGTGATTTCCCTTTTACTCACAGAACAGCATTTATGCTTAATATCTATTTTCGGATCATCTGACTCAAATATCCTCCCACATGTGGTTTACTCAGTAGAGAAGTTCTAAATCATTTGACAGCAATATTTTTATTTGCATTATTTTGTTATGACATGCTATTTTCTCTCCTTGTTTTTTTCCTAGAAAATTGTGATTTGCATGCACATTTCAATAATTGCTAAAGTGCAAACCTTAGGAGATCTTAGTGTGTTAATGTTAATTTCTTTTACAGACACTGAATCCAAAATGGAATGAAGAATTTTATTTTAGAGTAAGTTTCCCTTTACTTGCAGTTATTATAACGTGTATGATTTATCACGTGGTGTTTTATAAGGTTGGGAAGAAGCTTGTTGTCGTTGTGCATGTTTTCTTAAAAAAAAAAAAAAATAAAAAAAAATGCTTGTCCTGATGTTTGCTGTGGTCTTAAAATGTTAGTGTGGTGGCAAATTATCAGAAATATTTTAGGGAACTGTAGGAAATTCAAGCTATCATGGCAAAAAATAATGAAATACAAATGTAGAGAAGGAATACTGAAAAAGTAATTTATCGTGACCTTCATATTACTTGCCAAAATAAATCAAAATATGCTTTTTTCTTGTAGTTTACTTCTATCTATTTAGATCTTTCTTAAAATGAGTTAAGTTTGTTTCACCAAAAACTGTACGATACAGTTTCCTTAGTAGGTGACTTCTCATCAGAAGAAAAAACAACTTCATATTTGAAAATGAGAAAGGAGGGGGTTAAAATTGTTATTATCAGAACCAACATAGTATAAATGAGAAGGATGATAACTTTATTTACTTGCTGAAAGTATTTTTCTGAGGAAGAATGGCTTAATTTTACTGCAGCTGTAGCTTTCACAAAAGGAGGTTAGGTAAAATTTCAGTGGTTTAACATCTAATCTTAAACAGCTGCTTGAGAACAGATGTTGTCATTGTAGATTGTTAGAAATGGGTATCCTGTCAAACTTTGTTTATAGCCCTAGCACTTGACTGTCCTGCTAATAAGATCATTTAAATAGTTCCCACCAATATTATTGCTAATACACATTTTTTTGAGGTTTGAACAGAATTTTGACTTTTAAACATGTACCGAGTAGTTTTTCTAGATTGTAACTGGTTAATAAATATTTAAATCTCTGAAAATTGTCTTTATCTAATGTTTCCATTTGTGTAATAACTCGTGAGTGGGAAATACAGACTCAGAGTTGCTTCTTTAAGCTGTGCAGAGTCAATAGGAACTGCCTTGACACTAAGTTCATTTTGACTGCCTGGAGGCTTTCCATCTTCATCCCGGTGGTCCTTGATAGTTGCATCCCCTCCTTGCAGAGGTGACCCCAGCAGCTGCCCGCAGTGCAGCTGGGCTTCAATACTGTCATTTTACAACAAAGTTGCTACCTTAAGAGAGCCTTCTATGGCAGGGTTCAAATGCATTGCCCATAGCATAGAGGACAAATTACATAGAGATGACCATTATGGCGATTGCACAGGGAAGGGGAGAGAAAGGAAGCTCTGCAGGTGTTGTGGATGAGGCGAGCTGTGCCGCTGTGCTCGCCACCGAGGTCCCTGCGTGCGGCACAGACTGAGGTATACCTGAGGGGGAAGCTGCTGGGGTGCTGCCCTGGGACATCTCCAGGCTGCTGTCAGCCTGCGTGCAGCTTGGCCTCTCTTCAGAGCTGTCTGTAGACAGAGAGGCGTGGTAGCTGTCCTGCACTGAGCACAGTAAATAAGAGCCTTGAATATTCCCTGGTAGGCTGGGTCTAATTGCCGTAGGGTTTAGAAACAAATTGTTTGAGTGCTCCAGTTTAAGTAAAACTAAAAAATTCCCTAAGACCTGTTAGTCCTGTTCTGTTTGCCTTGGTTTAATCGTTGTATGAACTAGCACCCATATAGTGTTGTTATCAAGTGAATAAACCTAAAGTGATATTTTAATTTTCTCACAGGTAAACCCAACCAATCATCGTCTCCTGTTTGAAGTGTTCGATGAAAACAGACTGGTGAGTGCTCCTTCATTGTTTCACTGATCACAGCTGTGTAACGTGAATGGCAAGAACACAGCACATCCTAATGGGGTATTTTTGTCTGTACATTGGTGTGCTGGGCAATACAGGTTAAAGCATAAAAAATGTCTGTTTTATGGACAAATGGAACATTACACACAGGAGTACTCTGCTGGCTCAGAACACTCTTAAGCCATATTCTGACAGTGGAAGCCACATCGGATTCTTCCCTAGGCTTCTCTGATGTAAACTGATAAGCAGTCCCAGCTCTTTTAGTCACTTACAAAGCAGCTGCTTCATCCTCTGATCATTTTAGTGTCTATTTCTTGTACCTTTTAATACTTCTTAATCCTTTTTTGGGATGTGGTAACCAGAGCACCACTTAAGACTCAAGAAGCGGGTGCATGAAGGCTCTAGGAACTGGTAAAATAATGAATGCTCTGAATTTTGCATTCAGTTCTGTCCTCAATGACACCTGACATATTTTCAGGGTTTTTAGCCTTGAAATTCATTTTGCTGATGCAATAGTTGTTCTAGAGAAGTCTCCCCAAATGTTACTTCTTGTTCCTTCTGCTAGCTTTGTCTTCTGAAAATTGTAGCACAATTGTTTTTGTTTATGAGATGAGGTATTACATTTCTTGGTTGGGAGCAGTACGATCTCTACTAAAATTGCTTGCCTTATGAAGATAAGGATCAGTGTTGTGAAGGTCTTTTTACTCTAAACACACATAATATGGAAATATCAATCTCCAAAAATATGTTCTTTTTCTCTGTATTCCTATTAAATATAGAGCAAAGAAAAATAAAAATTAAAATATTCTGGGGAAAAAAAGGACTCAGTGAAACAATACTATTTTGTATTTTCACCCCTTTAGGGTGAAGTAAACTGACAAAATGTAATAATAAATCTGTGACAGCATGTATGTAGACTGGGCTGACTGAGTGTATTTCTGCAATGATGATCATAATGAACATTTGCACTATCAAAACTCCTATGCCTTTTGAAGTTAAAGGAGATCACCGGTCAGTTCTTCCTGGCTTTAAGGCACTGTGCTGCCAGCGGATGCAAACAACACTGAAGCAGCAATCCTGTAACCGTAACTGCGCGCAGGGTATGTAAGCCTGGGCTCAGGACTGCGCTGACATTCCCGCGTGGCTTGCGTGTGCCCTGGAGGATGGTTGGAATAAGTTTGTGTTGGCGTAGAGGGCAAACCTGAAACTCGTGGAAGAGGCTTCGTTCTAGCCTGCAGAGGGCAGTGGCATGTGTGGGGATGTCCATGTGTGACAGTAAAGGGGTGACAGTTCAGAAGAAATTCCAGTGTGGCTGCACAGTGACAGCTGACAAATAACAGTTCTGGTATACTCATTTCAGATACACGTTGCTTAGGATTTCCAAGTTTCTTGTATGTGGTACTGGCCTTATACTGGTACTTTCAGTACTATTTTATACTTGAACCATTTTCTGGCTGTTCTTGCTTCTGTAGACAGCCTTCCCTTAGGCAGTAGCCCTGGGTTTAGGAGCCATTGCTTGCCTTTCAGGTGTTCTGAACAGTTGGCAAAGGAAAGCAAGTACAGTGGGATTTTTAGAGTAGCAATTTTCCATCTTATGTTTACAGAATGAGAAGCACTGAACAGATTATTTTGGCTTTTGTGTGAAATACTCATTGTGAATACTTGCATGGTTTTGGCCCCCATAAGAACTTTCTTCATGTCCCTAAATTATCAAAGCACTTTGTCTTTGCAGTATGTCCTTTCCTTTCTTTTCCCCAGTCAAGACAAAGAACATATGATGCAAGCTTCATCTTCAGTGCAAAGAGACACTGTCCTTGCGTAACGTTTTACCTGGAAAATAATAATAAAAAGAAGTCAACACCTGTGCTTGCACAAGGCAATTCCGCAGAACTGTTGCTGTGTACAAGCTATTCATGGTTTTCTTCTTATTGGCTCGTAGTCTGCTTAAAACAATAGTGGATTGTGCTGTCTCTTGGCAGTTAAATCATTCTAAGCTTCCATTTCTCTTGTGATTGGTCGTTTTCTGTCTTTTGAAAGCAAGCTGCTCGCGTACAGAGGTTTAAATGTCTAGAGAGAGTATTGACCCGCCACCTACAAATTTTCAGAGCTGTTGACAAAACTGTAAAGCTTTCGAGTTCTCCCAGGGAGCAGATGTCCATGTATTTAATTGAAGATACACTGTCTCTTTTTTGTAGGTAGGCTTTTTGCTAAACACTTTCTTTTCTAGTATGTGCTAACAAGTGCTGTGCCGTGTGCATCAAATGTGAGTATCCTCAGATCACTGATTTTCTGCATGTAGGGTGTTTGTTTTGCGTTTTGGTGTATCCTGTCTGTCTGTTGTTCTTCTGAGGTCTTTTGGCTCTCAGAGAGCGTAACTGTATTCCATGCTGGCAGTCACACTCGTGGTAATATTGCTAACTTTCTCACTGGAGGCTGGCCAGCAATGGGCAGAGTTTCTGTACGGTGTTTAAGAGAAATCAGTACAAAACGACATGCAACACCCGTCTCCGGTTTTCACTCGTCTTTACTGCCTGGTAAAACTAAAAAGAAACTTTATTTTCTGTCACTTTGCACATTTCTGCTGTTTTTAATGTGTGAGAAGTCTTTGGGTATGTAGGGTTGCTTTGTTTGTTGTGGATTTTTAATTATTAAAAGGGACTGAGCAGGCTAGTATAGGCTATATGACGTCCACAGGGACAATGCAAAAGCCGTGGCTTTTTAAAGGCAAGAAGTTTGTTACTAATCACGTTATGAGCACAGTTAAAATTGAAAGCATAACCGTGCTATATTTATTCATGTTCTGCCATGATAGCCGAATGCTGTAACGCACACCCAAATGTTAAGCTTGAAATATTTTTTCTTATTTGCATGTGGAGTTGACTTGCTTTTAACACTAAATCCAAGTGTTTCTGTTGCAGTTAACTTTTCGTGTGCTTTATACAAATGTGCTGTATGAATACGATGTGGTTTAGATTTATAGCAGTGCCGAGTGTGTTTGCTGCCTTAGTCAGCTGTGAGAGCTCTCCCGCTGGGGCCGGGGCCGCTCCTCTCTGATGGAAAAGGAGCAGCTGTGAAGGTGCTGTTTCAGGCTCTTGCTGGCATTAAAAAACAAAAAAACAAAAAACAAAACCCCCACTAGCTTAGATTGGAGAGGGGGAACCAGGCCACGTGACTCCCACCATCCTACCCTATGTCACAGTGTGTAGGAGCGCTGATTGCTCTTACCCAATCATGCCTGGAATGCTGCTTGCCACTTGGGCTATTTCTGCTATCTGTCGCTATCAGTGCTGCAGTGCTAACAGTTTGGCAGATGGGACACTTTTTCTTGGAGTTTATGTCTTTGGTTTTTAACTTCTGGCAGTGCCTGAATTGTTGCTGTTCTCCCTCTCCTTTTCTTCTTTCTGTAAAACCATGGCCCATCGGCTGCGGTTTCATTTTGGCTCTGGGCGAAGCAACACAGCCCCTGAATCGGAGATCCTCGACCGGGAAAGAGAAGATGACTTTTTCATGGCATTCCACACTTTGCCAAGAAGAAACAGTCCTCACGCTTTCTCCCGACACGGAGCAGATTATGGTGGGGGCAGCGATTTTCAGGAAGTGGGCTCCTTAAAAAGGAGCACATCCATGTTTATTCCCCAGCTGCTGAACAGTATTGACGTGCGTCCGACGAGAAGCTCGTCGATGCAGATCTCTCTTCAGCGCAAAGCTGCGAGCGACTGTGCGGATGAGAGTGCAACCCTGGAATCTCCCGAGGAGACGCTTCCCTGTAAGTTCCCAGACTTCAGGGAGCATTTTGCACCCCCCGTTGAAAACCAGTCTTCCTCTCTGGGCAGTCCAGAGGTGACTCCTGAGAATTCTCCACCCAGGCTGACGGAAGAGTTAGGGCGACAGCTTAATGGAACTCTTTGCTGTAATCAGAGGATATTCTGTACTATTCCCTCCAATAACCAGAGCGAAGATGCTCCATCTACTGCCCAAGAGGATGAGACAAATGAAGCAGCTTCAGGTTTAAACATAAGCGGTGTGAGGATTCAGCATCGTGCTTCCAGTGTAGATGTGCCTCAGGTTACTCTATTACCCTTTGGATCTGAGGCTCAAAATAATGCCCCCACCCCTGAGCCCCGGCGTTGGTCTCTGCAACATGTGCCAGATATGTCAGCAAATTCAGGGAAAAAGTTCTTTGTTCTCCAGTTACAGCAACCGCAGGCAAGTGGGACCGGTGGCGAATATAACTTTGGTTTTACTGGGACAAAAGGGGACAGGTTGGTCAGGTATCCTCGGATACGGCTAGAAAGGAGTACCTCCTACCCTGTCCAGCCACGACCAGAAGAAATTAGCCCCACAGATGATGGAGCGAATTCAGAACTGCACGGAAATGGAAGGAACGGGTCAGAAATATCTAGAAGCAATTCAGTAGAGAGGATTCCTCAAGGGCAGGGATGTTTGTTTAAAATCAGACCAGATCAAAATACGAGGCAACAGCACTTCAGAATCCTTGTCACCCGTAATCCTGAAGAACAAAATCAGGTTGTTGGTAAAGATGGTCGTGGCACCCCTGGCCCTACACCAGCAAGCACCACGGTAAGTATGATGCTGAATGTACTGTGCTGGTAAAATACAGAATTGCCATACAAAGGTTTCTGAAATTGAAGCAACTGAAGGGCTTCCGTTGTTAGTGCTAGAACGTTCTGCGTTTCTCTGGAACGAGCTGCAAATCATCTCTATTTCTAATCCAACTTAACTTTGCTCTCAGTTACGATTGCATCCCATGTAATATTTTGAGATTCTAATGTCACACATTACTCAGGTCAGTGTTACATCAATTGAAAGATTTTTAAAATCAGGACATTCAAATGGCAAATTGTTTGTGTTAATTTCGCTGTCTGAGACCCTGACGCATAAAGAATTCTTCATGTGCTTTGCTTTAAAAAACAAATACTTGGATAACTTCTAAGGATAGCGTACCCATGCGTATCTCTGTTTGACTTAAAAATGTGCCCTGTAACGCTATAGGAACTAAGACTAGAAATTTTATAATTCCGATAACAATAATGACTTAGAGGTTAGAAAAATAAATATATCTTTTTTTTCTTGCTTTTGGCCTTCTGCAAATTACAAACGTGTCCTGTTTATGGTATGCCACAAGTCCTGCTCAAAGTACTATACAAGTAGCTTGGCACAACTCAGGAACTGTACTGTCATTTGTATTTGCTTTATTTTGCTTTAAGATGTCAAAATTCATCCGCTGCTTTTTTATTTTTTTTTGGTTATAATGGACAAAAACTGAAGTTTTGTGGTTTTAAGCCGTTCTTAAAAGACCAAGGCAGGAATGAAATTCAAGGGTTTAGATTAGTCATTTGCTTAAATTGCTTTACTGTGCAATTTAACACTGCCCACTTGAGTTCCTAAGCTCAGTGATGCTGTATATAGAATAGTAAGTACTCTATCTCCAGCTGTGAAAACAGATTCACTAGAGGAGATTTTGGTCTTCACTGCTTGTGTGTTCTCATTCTCCTGCGCTTTCTTTCAGTGAAATGTAGTACAGAAAGACAGCTGCTCACTGCAGAGAGGCCATATGATGACTCTGCAGCTTTCTTATAAAAAAGCTGATCATCTCAAAGCTATTCCAGTGTAACCTTTTTTAGCTCTTCAGTCACTATTATGCGTGGAAATTCACTATTATTCATATTTATGCACAGAATATTCCTAAGCATTCATTAAAAATAAATGTTAAAAATTCTCTTGCCAAAGAAATACAGGTTTCATTTCAGTTTGTTAGCTAGCAGTGTTGTTAAGTAGTGCATAGTGTCTTTTCTGCCAGCCTGAGAATGTTTCAGCAGGAAAATTTGGAATGCATGATCTCTGCTGGTTTTTCTTCATTTGAATTTCATGTATGCAATACATCAAGAGTTCTGTCTCATCCTAGAAATGTATGCCTGATTTTCCATTTCCTATTATCCAACAATAGCTGTTCACAGAGAACCACCGTAACCAATGATATAAGTAGCTGTAGTAGGTCCAACCTGGTACAAAAGTGTCAGAGATTTACAGATTTGTGCAACTCGCAGAGATGTGCCCTGTGTCTTCAGCCCATGCCTCTGCTGTGCTTCTCGTTTTCCTAAAGGACATACCCCCACAGTCACTTCTTTGATCCTCACTGTCGTAGCAATTCACATACCAAAGATGTACTTCAGTGTTTCCAGAAGAGAATTAAGAAATTTGTTCCTGCATGCTCTTAGCTTTAGTTACCATGTGAAATCAATTTAGCCTGCCATGAAGCGTGGCAGTCACGGAGGCACTCGGTCCAAACAGAGCGTGCATTCTTTAGTGCAAAACATTTCAAAAATGAAGAATTAATTGAAACATAAAGCTTCTTTGTGGTGTTTTCTCATATTTCGAGTAAGCCCAGAAGTGTTGTGGGTCGAGGTGATTGGCCAGGCAAGTTGCCATAGGAAGTGTGGGCAATGAAAACATCTTGCTGAAAGTCTTGCTTTAGTTTGTCTAGGTATAAAACATTCCTCGGTACGGTGCGATTTCTGAGCTATCCCACAGAAGTTTGGGGATCTCTGATGCTAAGGAAGGGTGTGCCTGAAGTGTTTGTTCCGTGAAGCTGAGGGGAAAAGCCGCCATGTCCTATGGTTGTTACAGAAGGAAAAAAAAAAAATCTGGACTCTTCCAGTTAAACAAGTTTGTGTGTATTTGATTGATATAGGGCCTGGGCCTGGGGCTGTACGCAGCAGCTGCTACAGCCTTATTTATCTTGAGTGAAAACATTCATGCGGGCGTCTGCAGTCCTACTGCTACCAAGTGTTTATGACCTTTCAAATATCTTGTTTTAGACAGAAGTGTTTTTGGGCAAGCAGGATGTATTTCATTACAAGTTGTTATAAAATATTAACTAAAATATGAGCTTGTGCCCAACTGTGAACATTTTTATTTGGAGGCATAGTTGGAAACTCTTTTGGCTACCGTGGTATTTTATATGTAATACAATAGACTACTGCTAAGCGTGTCTATATGCCATGGCATGTAACAAATACTAACGTTGTTTTTAATTTGGGGTCTGAGTGCATATTTGTATCTTCAAAAATCCCATATATTGGACAACTGTGTTAGAGCTCCGACAAAGGCGTCTTTGTTGTGATGAAAAAATGCAAAGCTCCCTGGCAAAATGTTGTAGTTGTAGTATTGAATTATACGTAGCTGACAAACAGAAATGGCATCTCTTGGCTCTGCTGGTCTGCATTTCGCAAGTCAGCTTTTTATTTTCCTTCCTACCTTCCTTAAAAATAATTTGAGAGTAAATTTTGTTGTGAAAGTACAGAGAATCTAATTATGCTCCTAAGAGATCAGCTGGGACTGCGGCATCTAAACCTAAAAGAGCAGCTTAGAATAAACACAGCTCAGCCAACACAAGGGGCTGAAATTCTGCAGAGTGCCCAGAAGACTTGGACGTGGGCACCTAAAGACACAGGTCCCGCTCGGGCTGATGCTGCGTGGCAATCTGGTGGTTAAGTGCCTAAAGTCTAGCTGAGATGGTCTTTGGCAGGATTTCCTTTCTAGAAAGTGGAAGCAGTGTTGGGTGAATATACGCAGTGCACGTGGTGGCTTTCATACAGGCTCTGTGTGAAGTGGCTAAAAAGTTCATGTTCGGTATGTGGGACACGATGGAGTCAAGGAGCTGGGACTGCTGCTCCTCTGCTGATGCCTCTCCAGAGGCTCGGAGCATCCACTTCCCTGCCTTGTTCTGCACGTGCTCCTTGGCTGTTCAAAACCTCGTGCTTCTGTTGATACCCTGGATGCTGGTGATTGGTTTAATGAAAATATTTTTGTGTGAGGCCTCTGCCCATCGTTGGGACAGCGGATTTCAGACGTGTCAGTGGTGAGTTCTGTGCTGGATCAGGTGTAATTCTCATCACCTAGAGCAGAGCCAGCTCCTGTGTGTAAAGCTGTATGGGGGAAGGCAGGGCTAGTTACTAGAACCCTTCTACAAAATTAGTAATTAGCAATTAACAATTGCATGACTGCAGTGCTGGTGCAGGTGAGGACAGACTTACACAGAATTGTTTTACGCTGTATTTTAATGCATTATTATACTATGACCTAGCACAATGGCTTTTGACAGTAGTTTCCTCCACAGAGGGGATGTGAGCATCTCTGAGCTGTTTTGTTCTGCTGGCCGTTTTTCTTACTTTCAGTGTAAGTGCTTGCTGGTAACCTCCTCTTCCCAGAGAGATCTTCTGTGAATTTAAATACAGTTATAAGAGGGCAAAATTTTTGCAAAGATAGCAATCCATGCAATAAATTGCTACTATTACTCAAGCTTAGAACCTTGTACCATCTTCATTTAATTTCTATCCCACTAGTAGAGCTGAGTCAAATCTCTTTAATTAATCGTATTGGGGATTGCTTATTTGTGTTTGACATTACAGGAAATATGTCAATGGGATTGCAGAGTGAAGTAGTAATTGGTCTCCACGCTCCCAGTGAAAATCTGCTGGTGTTCAGCTCTGTTACTAGAACAGTATCTAATGCTAAATTAAGGATGTAAAAAAGAAGCACATTTCTGCTCTACCTAGGATTAGAAATGTATATCAAAAGAATGCAACACTTGTAGTAACCTTTCTCACAGCGAAGTCCTGCAAAAATATTTCTGCCTTAGATGGGCTTGAAATTAATATCAGATATAAAAGAACTTATGCTCAGAAATGCATACAAGTTCCTCATGCAAAGTATGAACAGATGACCCCTCAGAAGCATGGATTGACAGCAGTTTGTTGGAAAAGGGATTGCAATCATGATGTACTATATCATGTATTATCAAATAAAAGGAAGGGGGAAATGCCAATTTCCCCCTTCCTTTTGATGTTTATTATTACCCTATTCTTGGTCTTGCTCTTGATGCACAGTGCTCTAAGATGTTTATAGCCCATGATATGGAAGTCTTGGGATGTTTTAATTCGGCTCAAAAGCAAATAGGGGAAATGCAGTTTTTATTTACTTTTACACATTTTAACAGAACCTTTAAATAAAAAATAGACTCTTAAAGGGAAACAAGCCTGTGCTTTTTTAGCTTGAACATTTGCTTTGCAGTCAGTCTCAAAAGCTATGTAGTTTTCAGTAGCAAGGTTCTGCTTTAGTGCTCTTGTCCTGTCTTTACATTCTTATATATCGTTGCCTCATTGGTGTAAACTATGGTCAGGTCTGCAAGTCTCTTTCCTGAGATGGTATTGAGCCAATAAATGGATTATATACTGGTGATCCTCACGTGAAAAACTGGTGGGGATTATTTAAAGATAAAATGAAAAAAGCATTTCCACCCTCCCACTCCTCTACCCTCATTCAAATAACCATTGCAAGAGATTTTGTTTTAGGCTAGCTAAGCCAGTCTGCTGAGAGAGGGGGAAATCCTGATTTTCCTTTTAGCATGGCACTTCTTGCCAGTTCTTGAGCCCATTCACCGGCCTGTCCTAAATGTGGTTTTCAGCACATTCAACATTTGTCGTCTTTAACTAGCCCCCCTCGGATGCTTTTTCAGGACCTGAGTACAGTGGTGCTTTTGGTTTGGAGAAGAGGTTTAGTTGCTTCTTGCAATTGTTGAGCCAAGTCTGCCCAAAAAATCCAAAGAATAAACAGATAAAAATGGGACAGATCCTGTTCCTAAGAACGTGTCTGTAACTGCTGACCTGCCTCTCCTGTTTTCACCTGGGTGGTGAAGTACATCGGAGCTGGCACTCTAATCCAGGACGGGATGTGAGGAGCAGGCAAGCGCTTGGTCTTGGGGTCTGTCTGCCCCTGTGCCCACCCCTGTGCCCGGTGAGCCTTACGGGGCTCTCCCTGCCGCTCCTGCAGCACTTACTGAGTGCACCTCTGCTTTCAATGCTACAAAGCAAGCCGCTAACAATTTGTCTTTTCTTATGTGCTATTCTTGGTTATACTAGTTGCATATTGAGGGCTTAGAGATTTTTCTAAAACAGAAAGGTGAAGGCTGGATCAGCGGTATTTCTTTCCAAGCTTCTTTAGAGAGAAGACATCGGTAGACAAGTGCCGTGAGAAGTGTTGTGCACCTTGAGAGGCTGCCTTGCCTTCCAGTGCTACACAGAGCTAATACTGCACCCAGCAGTTAGTATCTCTTATATTGCACTTGTTCAAGGTTGGAGACCTACTTCAGGGACTGCTATCTGGACTCTAATAGGCGTCTCTAGAGCAAAATTCATGCTGCCCATAGCTAGGTGCTTAAAATACCTCAAAGGAAGAGTGCTGTGAAATTTGTGTTTCTCTGCGTGCTGCACAAGGGGTGCAGATGGCTGTCTAATGGCCTCAGTGCTGTGCAGGTGGGGACTTGGCTCACATCTGCCTGGGGGGGTGGAGGATGCTATCCCTTGATGGTCACAAATACCCTAATAATTTAGTTAGTTGAAAACTACTTCAAGCGTGGATTTATTCACATATAGATATCTAGGTATCTCTCTTTGTCAAGTTTTCAGAGTGAAGAATTGGCAATACTGTCTTTACCTTATCCCTGTCCATCCCCAGAGTTCCCTGGTAAAGTATTCTGATTTTATTAGACTTTGTTGTTGGGCATTTTTCTTGCTGGAAGCTGAATCTTGGTATTTCTCTGTAAGGAAACCAAAATAAAACCTTGAACAAAAGAATTGGAAATAACATTTTGATTTAAAAGCAGTAATAAACTATTTGCTCCTACATGGAAAAATTGTGTGCTGAGTCTCAGTACACGGTGATCTCTTTAAAGCTGAGTTTATAAGGCCCTCGATTTACAATGGAAATGCTGACACAGTCTTAACACCGAAGGTGCCAGCCAGAGCAGCTTCAGTAGAGCACTAGCCACAGAGAACTGCACGTAATAAAACAGATACAGAGCGTTCATGGCTTCTTGCACTATTCAGCTGTTTGAGAAAGGTGATCAAGTAGCGAAGAACTTAGGAACATGTATGTTTTGTGACCATTCTTGTTCAAAAAAGCTCTTCTAAATCCAAATATATCCTGTTAACTTAGTTTCTGGATCACATCCCATTGTAAAATGTACTGCTGCGTACATTCGTCTAAAATCTGGTGCTTTTGTTGTTTTTCATTTAGCAAGATGGCATTGGTAGCTTCCAAATACAGCAATTATGTACAGAAAAAGACGTTAATAATATCAGCAGTATGACTGGGCTGGTTTCTGTTGCCAAAAAGAGGAAAAAAATCACCGTCGCTGTCTTTAAATCCTCTGATACCATCTATCCAGCCAAACACGGGGCTGTGTCGTGTGTGTGGAAGAAGCAGATTCTGAAGTTAAAGGCTCAGGCATATTACCAAAGCACTATTCCTGTTTCCAGGTTCGTGATGTGCCCACTGCTCGGGCCTGGGGCGGGGAGGGGCCGACACGTGCGCTATTCGGGAAGCAAAAGGCAGAAGGAAAATCTGTTTCTAATTAGATCAGTTGTGCAAATGAAACATGTACTGCACCGTGCACTGTGGTGTGAATTCAGATGGTTTTTCAATTGCTTTGGTAAAAGCTTCGTCTTCCCTTTCAGCCTTGGTTGGCAAGAATTACCCTCCCTGGTCAGCCGCGTTCCCAGGCGGCAGTTTGTGTAGGCTGGAGAAGAACGAGAGGCCGTAAGGTGGGAGTTCTGTCCTCAGCGCGAGGGACATTCAGCAGTGAGCTTGTACGAGCTCGCTAGCCTTCTTTGCAGTTACTTGTTGAAGTCTTACATCCTTAATCCTACTACTAAAAGAAATTTATAGTGGTAAAGATTATTTAAGCAGTGTTTATAATGAAGAGAAGCAAGGCAACAGGAGCCTACTTTTAAACATCAGTTTTAGCATTCAGCAGATTGCTGGAAAGACAGAAATAAAACTCTGGAGTAAGTTATTTGGAATTCTTTTATTACAGAAAGCAAGCCACTTCAAAACTAAACAGTTATTCTTCAAGCAGTGAAAATCCTTTAAAACAAGCTATTGGAGGCTGACTAGTATCCTCCTTGACAAAGTTAGAGCCTAAGTTTTACCAAGTTAACATTAAAAACAGTTGGTGTATTTTGTTCCAAAAATAAATTTTCTGCTTTGAGCTGCTTTTAATTTTATTTCTACTTAATGTCCTGTAAGTAAAGAGCATAGCATATCCACACGTGTGGATAGCAATATTATTTTAAAGGGATTATGTCAAATCACAATTATTTAAAGCATTTTCCTATTGCTAAATAAAATTTGAAGCATTATTATTAAAGCTTAGAATTATATTTGTTACATTCTACACATCTCCCTGCTTCCAGTGTAAGCTTTGTGCATTTTAACAGTAATATAATTATGTTTTAGTCCATCTGCACTGTAAAGACTTTGGGTTACAAATATGCTAATCATTTAGTTACTTGAAATCTGCTTCAAGCAGGGTGTTATATTACCAGAAGACAATTATTTGCTTCAAATTCTATAAAAGTGGAAATAAACGTTATTGTTGAAAAGTTAGCAGAATCTCCTTCCCTTTACGTGCACAGAATCTTGCGTTCTCTCCAAAGATCTGGAAGTGGAGGCTGCTGTAGTTGCTGTATTACTAACACTTCAGTATTTTTAGAAACTCTATCAGAGCGTGCCTGCCAGCACACTGAATTATTATAAACACAAGTGAACTATACTTGTTGGGAAATGATTGCAATATATTTGGTGATGCAGCTTGCAGTTATGTAGCGGTGTTTACTAACATACATCTTTCCAGAATTCAGTAATCCGTAATGCAGGTTTCTGATCCTGGACAGAACGTCTTTTTGAATGTTTGAAGTGTGAGATTCACACGGTTTTCATATTTTTCTCTCTCTTAAAAATAATAATAAAAAGAAATAAATATGCTAATGCCCAAAAGCGTTGCTGAAAGTTGTAGATCGCCGCCTTAATCCAGAAAGACAGCATTTCTTTTGCGGTTCAGAAAGCTTCAGATGGCAAGTGGTGACCTTTTAATGATTTTTTTTAAATGAATGATATGAAGCGCAACACTAAAATGTCCTTGGACATGAATTATTTGCATTAGCAGCGTATCTATTTGATATATCTGGTTAAGCACAGGTTGTTGGTATTCTTTTATTTTACAACAAAGGAGAATTTTTTTTTGAATATATTTCTCCCTTAAGCAGTAAATATGCTGTTATGTGGTGAATTTCTGGCCTAATGCATTAGCATGTCTTACAGAAGCTGTCTGTTGTCCAAATGTAAGCAATCTGTGTAATTTGCAAAAATGAAGTCTGATGAATGGGGCTAATGGATTTATCCATATATATTCTATCATAGAAAAATGGGGATTTATAAACTATTTGCTAGAATGTGATCTGCATGATTTGCAATATGATTTGTGCTTTTATCAAACCTATGAAGTTAGTCTGTCATTGTTGTCAAGAGTAGCTCTGGTTTAAGCAAGCAGGAGGATTTTCTGTCTTGAAATTTCCTGACTTGTGACTTGGGCAGGTTGGGGAACACAGAGGAGTGTTAGGGGCCTTGCATTGCTTCACAAGTCTTCTCAACACCTCTGAAAAGCCAAAATCTGCTTGAATCCACATCCCAAAAATGGGATTCATCATTTCTTTATGGATAGAAGAAAGGTTTGCCTGCAGTTCAGTGATTTTAGGCCTTTTGTGTTGGATGAGGAACATTCAATTAACTAGCTTGAGAGCGCTAGTGCTGCAGAACTGATGGACGAAGAGAATGCCAGCGAAATGGGTGGGAGGCAGAGGAGGTCAGACAGATCTGAGGGCTCCTTGTTTTGTCACAACGTCGTGTGGCCAGCCAACAGTTCTACGCTGTTATGTTGGACTTAGTGATTATTTCTGGCAGATCTCCTTTGACAATTTATTGCATGTTTTCTACCTTACTATGTCAGGTTTTTGTTCGTCTGCGTTCATCTACAGCAGACAATACCACAAAGGGGTCTAAGGTTTTTGCAGGTGTTAGAACCAGTGTCCCGTTTTCAGATACTTCCAAAATTTTGTTAAACAAGCCCCTTCAGACCTTAATATGAACTATGTCTTTGAGGGAAAGTTGTCCACTGTTGAGATGCATTTTTTTTTTTTACAGTGCACTCAGAGCATATCTCCTGACTTGTAAAAATCAGTTTGCCATTGGAGCTGCTGGTTTTCAGGTGTTCTACACCAAATGTGTACCAATATGTACATGGAGATTGTTAGCTGCTGAAAAGAAAAGAAAATACAAGTTGTAAGGTCAATTTTAAAGAATGGGATACTGAGAGAGAAAGTTAACTTTCAAGTAGTCTCTTTTGCCATAAAAGAAGTATATGTAAATAATAAATTCATCAGTTACAAGGTGTAGGATTGCAATAGATGCTCTACAAGGCATACTAATCAAGCCATAGAGTAACTCTGGAAGGTTTGTTTTATATAGACGTGTATATATATATATATATATTTTACAGTACTTGTGACATTATCAGCTTTCCCCATTCACGTCCAGCCTCAAGTAAATGCAAACTGTACTTTATACTCATTGGGAAAAATGAAAAATAAAACCTGTACATGTGCAGTGTCTTACTACTGCCGTCCCCACAGAAAACCTTGTAGTGGTTTTATCTTAATGAATTAGCGTTGTGTTATGCTAGTTTTCATATTTAGTTTTCTCTTAAGAGAAATAAAAAACAGTGGGGTAAATTTACGTAGAGAAATTTCTTGTTTTCCCTGTATAAACTTGTAAATACTGTGAATTTGGATCAATTAATTGCCCGAATTTTCAGGCTATATCTGTACACAGAAGAATTTCCTGTTAAATAGATGGATCTTTATCCCGCAGTAGGACCAGATAGCTTTGGAGTTCAGCAATACAGCTATGTTTTTCCTGATACTAAAAAACTGGTGTTATTTCAATACACAGTTTGTTACTTAGAATTGCGGCAGGGAAAACTTCATAACCTTACCTTAAGCACTTTGTCTCTCGTACCCATGGTAGCCTATGGAAAGGGGAGGCAGTTTAACTGTTGGGGTTTGCAGCCAGGCAGTTCTCCATTTCCAGAGGTGTGAGGGAGGGAGAACCTCGGCTCCTGAGGTGCAGGAGGTCCCGAGGCGCTGCGTCGGGTTCACAAAGTGTGCTCAGTCGCTGGGAGTTGGCGTGCTCTGCTCTCTGCAAAGGAGCTTAAAACGCTTGCTGCTTTATTTTTTACATCTGTTTTGGTCAGCGTGTGTTTGTACTGTGACCTGTCGCTCTGCCCTGATGCTGCTCACAAAAAAGCTCAAAACCAGTTGGGAATCTGGGAGGTGACAGGGCAGCAATCTGGGGTGGAGGAAGCAGTAACTGGCAAGTCGAAGCGCCGCTGCTCCAGGCAGCAGTTCAGCGTGATCTCCCTCTCCTGTCCCCAGATTGCTGAGCTGTCTGCCTGCTTTTCAGATTTGTTTTTGTCTTGAGCAGTGAATCACAGCAGTGCTCGCCTGGGCAGGTGACATCAGTTGGATTTCTTGTGCCGGATGCCAGCCAAAACAGATGCGGGAAGAGGAGGGAGAAAAGAATTTGGAGTCTTCAGTTTGCAGCGCCAGCTCCATTCTCCATGGAGCTGATGTGTGTGTTTTCCTTGTGCTGTGTGCCTCTCCACAGCCAATGCTGTCTCCTTCTCTCAAGTTTCTGAGAGCTCGGAGCTGGAGAGCACTCTTTGCTGCCTTTTGTTAGGTCCCTGAATTTTATGGGAATTAGCTTTCTGACCAAACATTTGCAGCAAATATTTTTGCAGTCTCTGCCCTTCCTGTTTGTTTTTATTTTGTTTTGTTATAATCAAAAGTAAATATGTAAGCATCAACTCACTGTGCAGGATACAAACAAAATAGATTGGTCACTGGTTTAAAAAAGTAATACACCGTACAAACTCTTACTTATGTTCTTTAATTTTCACACAGAGAAATTGTATCACCAAATACACTGTTGTTTGACTGCAAGCTAAGTAAGTAATTACCCACCGAAAAGACCTTACAGGAAATATTTTTGACTGAGCTAAATGGACTTGTAAAAATGGACTTGTAACTATCTTTTTCTTAAAGAATTAAATAAACCAAAGTCACCTCATCCCAGGGCACTTCTAATTTCTCTCTGGTCAGTGCCTGGCAGTTTCTCCTCAGTGCCCGAAGAAATAGCAGGTATTGTGTTCTTGGGTCAGATACACGTGGCATTCAGAATTCTTACAAGGTATTTGCTGCATTTTCTCTTACCGTTAGGAAAATCATTAAAGCAAAAATATTACTTCGAATGCTGCCAAGTGTAATGCCTTCTCGAACATAAGCACTACTGGGATCAGACTGTTGAAAGAACTTACTTAGTAGCTTTGGAAAATTTTGCCTGAATAAATGTCAGCATGCTTTCTGTGCTGCCGTTACTGCTATCTCATTTCTCTGCCTCCTGATACTTTCCCCATTCTTTTCGTTGTCGCTGTTCTCTTTTGTTTAACCTCGGTCTACGGTTCTTCCATCAGCTGCATACCTAAAGGACTGCATCATGGTCCAAGATAAACATGTTGATGGCTACTAATGTAATATAACTGAATACTTGGGGAAGGTGCTTAATGTGACTTCTGATCCCTTTCATCCCTGGCAATTTATAGGACACTCACACATCATTCAGGAGGAACAGGGTTTTGAAAATGTCGCTGGAGCTCTGGTATGCAGTCTTTAAACAAAAGCTTGACTCTACGATTTTACTGGGGCTTGTTTAAATTGCAGTTTTCTAGAATGTTGCTACGGAAGATGCACCTTCAGCTTCTCCAGAAAGAAAGGTGACTAAGCTTTGTGGTGGAGGAGCTGTGGCTCTGGTAGCTGGACACAACAGATCTGCTCTCAGTGGGAGTCGTGGCTTGTATAAATGTTAGTTGTTTGCCCCTACAGCTAAGTGTTTTTTAAGAGTTCACAAGGGGTCAGATAAACATTTAGTGGCTTTCAAAACCTGTCTCTGGTCATCTGAGTATGTTGTGTTATGTGGTCAGGTTACAGCGAATTTCAAAGCACTGTGGGGATTACTGGTCTTTCATACTGCCTTGAACTGTTTATAGTGGCTTTATGCCCAGGTCTATAGCATGCTTAAAGAGAGTACCAAAGAGCAGGAATGAGTCTGTAGAATGGAAAACTGGGGACTTTTCTATCTCCTTGAGTTCTATTGTTATATTTTACTGCTACTCTGACGTTGGTACACGGCGGCGCACGTATTCAGGAGAACAAGTTGAGGAATGGTACTCAGGGATAAAGGAATCCTACATCAGCACAACGAAAGGAGCTCTGTGTGTGACAGGTGACTGAAGGCATGCTTATTTGTGAAGGGCTGGTTTTTCACTACTGAAATGATTCTTTAGCCACAGATCCCTACTTGCACATTACTTTTTATTAACAAGTAGAAAGTCAGCAAGTGAAGGAGGAAGAGCTGCAGAGTGAAAAATCAGTGGTTAGACAATGTACAAAGAATGCCATCTTGTTTGCTTGCGTGTATGCATGCAGAATATATATATATACACATTATGCCTTATGATAACAATGTCCAACTAATCCTTCTATTTTCTGAGCTCCTTATTAAAATAGCAGCTCTATTCTTGATAGATTTTTGAGCGAAATATTTCTAAAATAGAAGAGAAAATATTTGAAATAATTAATTATGACTTAAGGATTTTCTCAGGTTTGTCCACATTCAGTTCCCATAGAAGTAAAGTATTCTTGGTGTTTTTCAAAGGCAGCTGCATTCCAACATGCTCTAAACCTATCATTGTCTTCCTCCAGTTAAATCTTAGCATACAGTCAAGACAACATAGGAAAAAAAGACTGCTGTCATACTTTTCAGCTGTTTTTTCCAAGAATAAGCAGAAAAAGCTAAAATTTTAGGAGGAGGCTGTATCAATTTTTAACTTTATTTGCTACCCTCTTGGTAATTTTTCAGCATGGTTGCAAGAGTTATACTTGCATGTTGCTTCCTGAGCTCTTGTATCTCAATTGCTGCAGTTGTCCAGGATGTTATAGGGTTATAAACAGTGGAGTTTGTTGCAGTGAGAACATGAATCCCTCCAGCACACTGGAGCATTTATACTCGTACAATGTTTGGCTTTTCTGTGGGTTATATTTCTTAAGTGCTTTCTGCCAAGAAAGAACATGCATGCCAAAAAAAAATTGGTCATGGAAGGACAGGTGTATACTGAAACCCAAAAGGCTGGATAGAAGGCAAGACTGTTATTGGTAAGGAAAAGAAACAGGAAGGGAAAAGTAGGACTTCTTAAGCAAAAGGTAGAATAAGGAGATTAGCGAAGAGGGGAAAAGGAGTGGTAATAGAGAAAGAAGGTAAAAGATCTGTGCCATTTGAACGGTTCGTATTGTCTGCAACACAAGGCAGCATTAATGAACAATTTGCCAGCTAATTATACTCTTTATAATCGGCTTAATCTGTGCACCACTGCAGAGTTCCCCAAGCCTGCCTCTCGTGATTACCATTATTAGCAGTTCCCAGCTACAGTTGTGCTTCATTTCAGAAATCCCCTCACCATGGCTCTGTGAATTACTGGTTTCTGAAGGGGAGTTATCTGAGCAGCAGTCCTGCACAGTGAATAATTTTGAAAGGAAAAAATACAAACGCTTGCTAGAACGCAAGGGCTGAGTTTAAATAAAATAGGCAGTTCTGTGGGGACCATCACAGAATTCTTGTCTCGAGAGTGCCAAGTCCTGCATTTATGCCAGCTAACTTTAGGCACCTAGCTGACAGAAACGCAGTCCTTGGAGGCTTTTGTTTGTCATCGTTAGAGGTCTGCCCAGATGAAAAAGTTCATTAATCCAACTGAGCTGCTTCTCCTTGCTGACAGAGGGAGCTGAAGGCAGCTGCCCTTCTGTGCTGGACATCCATCAGCTGGAATGAAACTTGACCTGGGTTCTCATTCTTCTAGATCTTTGGCAGTCTGCATATCTGAAAGAAAAAAAGCATTTCCCTGGCCCTTAATTGGAGCACATTGCAATCCCCAGTTGTGGAATCTGATACTTTGTATTTTATTTTATTTTACACATTTTTGTGAAATGTCATAACTGTTTAGTCTTTTTTCTTCACACAATCTCAGCAGAAGTTGTTGGTGTTTTCTCTGTCCTGTGCTGCATTTGTTCACCATCACTTTTCAGCAACATAGCTTGGAACATCAGAGTCCCGCTGCATGTACATTACTAGGTGTAAGGTGAGGAATACCTATTGGTCAGTCGTGTGTGGGGTCTGCTGCACGAGAGCTGTGTGCTTGAGGTATGCTTCCGTGCATCCTCTCCCTGGCAAGAAACAATTAAAAAAAAATATATATATGAGTCTGAGCAAATGAAGAATTTTGGAGCCTCTGAGAAAGCTCCAAGCAGTGAAGTCCAGTTGTTTGGGCTTTGGAGAGAGACCAGCATCTCTTCCTTGTAACAACCCTTCTGCTGTAAACCTGGCTGGATTTTGCTCTGACTTTACCAAAGTTAGCTTCCTATCTAAAATGTAACTGTTTTCTAAATTCAGTACTTTTTTTTTTTTTTTAATACACAAGAATATAGAATTTGAATAATTTTTTCTCTGTTGGATATGAGGGATTGTGATTCCCTACTGAATCCTGTGCAGTCTCAAACATGCATAGTGTGAAAAATGTTTTGGTCCCTTTTTTGTACCAGTGGCAATACGTATTTAATTTCAAGAGCACAACAGACACTCAACTTTAGTGGCTCTAAAAAATTGTCCTGAGTGACCTAATCCTTTTTGGTCTTAGAGTACTAATGGATAGGATGGTGGTAAATTGCTGAGTTATAGTGAAGCTTCGTAGTAAGATGACTTCATTTTTTTTTTTTTCATTTTTTTTTATCTGTTCCTTCATTTTTTATGGAACAAGGGACAGGGTCTGTCCTATTGCATTCAGTTTCTTTGAGACTTTCTGCCCATCCTTCCCCTTAAGCACAGCAACTCTGCTCCTCTTTCCCCAACCCTCACCTGGCTCAGGCCTGTGCTGAGCATCTCTCAGGCACGGGCTCTGCTCGCGCCAACCCACAGAGCTGCCTGTCCCCATGCAGAGCTGCCTCTTCCCGGAGGCTGCGAGCACCGGGTACCAGCAGGTTCCCCTGGGCTCACGTGCCACAGGTAGAGAGAGCTGTGGGAGCCCTCGTAGAGGGAGGCAACAGGAGCCTGTTTTAGCACTCCTCTGTCATACGCTTAACTACAGGAGGGATCTAACAAGGAAGCTGTTTCAGTGTAATGTAGAATACATCTTGAACTTGCTGTCTTTTCTCTGGCATTGTCCAGAGTTTTGGGGTGGGTGTTACTCGTATTTCAGTAATGTATCAGATTTTGGTGTAAGTGCTTGATGGCTTTGAGTGGGTTTAAATAAGCAGTGGCAACAGAAGACAAATATTTTAAAATTTAAATATTTTATGCTTATGTACTGCAGCTTACTTAATCCATTTCATTAAGGATCTAGTTGTCACGGTTGTCCGTGCTCCCTAGGAAATAGACTTTTCTCGCTCAGCTGTGACTGTTAGGGAGCACTGCTGCCTCCTCTCTGAAACTGCGACTCTGTGTCTTTTATTTCTAGCTTAATCTGTGAAGGGCCTCTGTCTGGGTGTTACGCATTATCATCTTGCCAGAGATAAGACTTAGCTTTGAGCAGGCGTGCCCAAGTGTGTGTAATATCCTGGGAACCGATTGTGCGGTGTCTTCTCATTAACTATTCCTAATGGGTGGAAACGATACCAGAGGGGTTACAGTAATGAAGTCGTAATGTGATAGATCGGGCTGAATGAGAATAAATTCATTCTGATGTGCAGCAGTATTCCAGGGGGTATCGTTAGTGCATACAGAATAATACATAGAAACCTACTGGTTCGCCCTGTGTTTTTTAATTTACTGTTTCCCAGTAACTCCTTAA